TTGCCACACTGATGTGTTGTCTTCTGTGTGAGATGGGTAAGGATATGGAGAGAAAGGGCTAGAACTCAGAAGGAAGGATTGAGCTCACTGAGTTTAAATTCTTGCCAAGCACAGTCTATTGCTCTTCTCTTCACAGCCTGATAATGCTTAGCATGGCGCCACTTTCTTTATAGGTGTTCAGTAAATATTAATTTCATCCTGCTACAGAGACTATCTTTTTCCTTGAAATAAGGCACACAGAATTAAATGAAGCTAATGGATATTTAAAGATGTAGGCTGGGATGAATAGCTTTAGGAAATATATGATACTGTCATTGGCAAGAACAAGACAAGTAAATATTGCTTAAATAGCTTTTTAGGTTAATTATTTTTGCTATTTGAAATCTTACAAAACAACCCACTCATCTGTTTTTTTTTTCCTATGAAAAAAAGAACTTGTAAGGCATTAGTTACATAAAATACACTTCTAGCCAAAATGTCTTTACCTTTTCAATTCTTTCATGACTGCCTCTCCTTTAAATCCCTGAATAATACAATTATACATGAATGATTTCTGAATCTTAACCTTCTCCTGTCTATGTGTCATTGAAGTGCTGTATGAAAAGAGCTGAAGCTGCTGACCTGCAAGAAATTGGAATATATAAAATAGAGATCAAACAGCTGGTTATAATGATGTCAAAATTAAAATAAAATGCTATTATGGAATCTATGGCTATAAAAATGTGATTTATATTAACTTCAATATTCTGAAATTCTCCTGATATATTTTATATGCAAATTTTAAGAAGAAAATAATTTTAAATGTATTCTCAAAAGAATTTCCTCTATTACTGGGGGGGTTTTTTTGCATCAAAGCCAACAGAGGGTTTCCTAAATGGAATAGCGATTCCAGGGTTCATTGCAGAAACTCTGTATTGAAGGAGATTTTAGAAATCATCTGGTTTTCTCATTGCATGCATTTCTGTCCCTGATATTCCCTGTAAGTGGTTTTCTACCCACTACTTAGACAGTCTCGGTGACAAAAAACTCACTATTTTATGAAGTTTACCCATCACTAATGGGTTATTCCAATTTTTAGAAAAATGTCCCTTATGCTTATAAAGCTAAATATGCTTTTATGTTTCATCTACTGTTTAGCTACCTATGTTATATAAATCTAATCCTTATTCAGATATGATATGGTACAAGAGACCTATATTCAGTCTCGACTCTACTAATTATTATTTATTATATTCCTTTAAAATGTCAATTATTAGAGTACTAAACCCTTTACATGCAATGTCTTATTCAGTTTTCATAAAAAGTCTACAAAAGTAGATACTATTTTTCCTTTATCTTATGATATGGAAATGGAGACTTGATAATAATATCTGTAATAGTAATGATGATGCTAGCATTATTGCATGCCAACTCTATACCAGGCACTGTGCTAAGCCCTTTATATACATTATCAGAACTTAAGTACCTTGCCTAAAATTTGCTACCTAGCATCTCAGGTTCAAACTCAGGTTAGATACCGAAACTCCTCTGGATTTAACCTCTTTGCGCCTCATTTCTTTGTCTGTTAAATATGGGTAATATTATCTTCCTTATAAAGTCTTCTGAGATTCAAAAAATGGCTTATGAAAGTATCTGGCATCCTTGCTTGAAAATTACTTCTTTCCACATACCATTTATTCATTTCTTTAAAGATAATTTTTGAAAAGTTTCTTTTCCTTCCTCTTTGTCCAGGTTTCTATTCTCCAGGCTGAATATCCCCAGTCCCTTTAGTCTTCATTCATTCATTCATTCATTCAACAAATACTTAGGAGATCCCCTCCCTGTTGAAACTTACATTCTAGAGGGAAAACAGACGATAGACAATAGAAATGATAGCTAAGTAAATCATCTACTGTGTTAAAGATAATAAGTGTCATGTTTGTGGACAACTAGGATAAGGGAAATTAAGAGTTTGGGAGTAGGTGGCAGTTTATTTACTATGGCTGTGTGATAAATTATCCCCAAACTGGGGCTGGGTGTGGCTTACACCTGTAATCCCAACATTTGGGAGGATCTGGAGGACCTGGAGGATCACTTGAGGCCAGGAGCTTCCCATCAGCCTGGACAACATAGTGAGACCCTGTCTCTACAAAATTTTTTTAAAAAATTAAGCCACATGTGGTGGGGTATGTCTGTAGTCCCAGCTACTCAGGAGGCTGGGGCAGGAAGATCGCTTGAGCCCAGAAGTTTGAGGTTACAGTGATCCTATGATCAGGCCACTGTATAGCCTGAGCAACAGGGTGAGACCTCATCTCTTTAAAAAATCGAGGAATTATAGAAATAAGGACATTATTTAATACAGATGTTATTTAAATCATGATCCTGGGAGAAAACACCAAAGAATTGAGTTCAAAAGTGAGGGCTGAACCCTGAGGCCCCCACCCACCGCACCATTAAGAGATTGGGCAACAGCAGAGAAGGAACCAACAAAGGAGACTGGAAAGAATGGCCAGAGTGTCCCTGAAGCCTAGAGGAGAAAGTGTATCAAGGAGGAAGGATACACTCAATGCTCTGATAAGCCATGGTGGGGACTGAGAAATGTTACATTTAGCAACTATGGTGGTCATCGGTGACGTAGACAACAGCAGTTTCAGAGGACTAGTGGGACAGGTGCCTGATAGCAATGAGTTTGTAGAGAGCGGAAGGAGAAGGGTTGGGGAATGTGAGTACAGACAACACTTTCCACGAGTTTTGCTGCCAAGATGAGCGAGGAGATAGAATAGTAGCTGGCTGGAGGAGAAGAATCAAGAGAAGGATTTGTTTTATTTCTTAAGATGGGAGAAGTAACATGTCGCATGCTGTTGGGAATGATCTAGGAGAGAGTGAAGATTTGGCATGGCAGGGGAGAGAGGAAGGAGGGAAACCTTGGACTGATGTCCTGGGTGTGCTTTAATTTCAGACCCTGGCTTTCCTCCTCTGCAGGGGATGTGTGGGGTGAGCATATGGGCATGGGTGGCAGAGATAAGGAAAATCCATCAGGCCACTGCCCCTTCTAAGCTGCTTCCAGTCTCACTCCTTTCCCCTTTCTCGCTCACCATTTGGCCTGGGAACCCCAGCTGCTGCCTGGTCCTTTTTCCACTGTGCAAAAGAATCCTAAATGTGAATGGATAAACACCACATTTCAGTTACTGGAAGATCATCATCTTCCCCCTTCTTGCAGCTCTCTGAGGGGTAGGCAGTGAGGCTTGAAAGCAGTGAGGGATTGCCAAGCAGAGGTGTGTGCAGGTGTCAGAGGAAGGCGATGCGACACCTCCTGTCGCTGACTGACACACACCCTGGCATGAGTTGCTGTTCATTTAGGGAGAGAATCTCGAAGAGGAATGAAAACTGCCAAGGGAAGCACCAGATGAGTCATTGAACAATTCCATTTTGCCCTTAATGTTAGAAGAAAAGCATCAAGAAGAGTGGCAATGAAATCATGAAAAAATATATTCTTAGCTTTTTCTTTTCACTGATTGGAAAAGGAAAGCATTGTAGAAATCTCCTTCCTGTGCCCTTCATTTCTCATCATCATATAATAGAGTGACTATAGACATCCCTAAGTTTGGCACATGGTATTGGGACTTGGAGTATCTTTCCATCAAAACCTGTTATTCCCCACATATCCCATCCTTCTGTATTTCACTCTTGTGAAATAGATTTTCAGTTTTACGGCTGAGAAAAATTAAGCTTTGAAATGGTAACACCATTTGCTATATTTGTGCTGCAGCAATTTTGTAGCTCAGGGGATTTGTCAAAAGCATGACACTTACTGATACAAAATTAAAAGCAACTATTCCAGATCATTAGGAGAGACTGGGGTTGGGGGAGAGAGGAGGTGCAAACAATGTTGATTTCATCTTACTGACCTGCCTCTCCTGTGACCTGTTATGTAATTGGTAAGCACATTGGATGAATGATAAGGTTCTGATCTATAGAATAAAGTCATGGTATTACTTTTGTTTTAAGCAGCAGCTGAAATGTTTAATAACATTTGATGAGGAAACTGGAATTCTTAGCACAAGAATGTAGTGAGCAAACACCAAGAATTAGTCCAGAAATGAGTATGTTATAGGCTGTAAAGTACCTGTGCCTCACACTGCCCCTTGCCCTCTTTTCTATAGTAAGATTATCATGTTTTAGGTGTTGCAGAGTACTTGAGTGATAGAAGATGTCACGTGAACAGCCAATGTTGCTAATGATGCCAGGCACCTCCGCTCCCACCTGTCCTGTCTGCATCCATTGTTGCCATGACCCCCTCCCCTTGCACTTGCTCATGAATTGCAATTTGCATTTAAAGACTGCCCTGCATAATAGCCTGTCACCCACACAAGCAGCCCATGGTCTCAGCACCCTGCACCTTGGCTGGAGTTTATATTTCTGATTCTGTGTTATGTTTCTAAAACCAGTTTGATTTATATTTTTCCTATTGCATTGGGGCTTGTATTTTTCTTCTTTGGCCACATACATAGCATGCCTTGATTGGTCAACACATGGTTCTTCATGAAGCTGGCTTGGATTTTACAAGGTGTTAGAGTTTTTAAGTTAGCTCATAAAGTCTCTCACACTTGAATTTATACTGGAGAAGTTATGGAATGATTAACTTCATAGGTGCCGTTTATCCCCAAAGATGATCAGCTTTATTCATGCTGAAGCTGAATGTTGGTGGATAACACACACTTCTTTGTAAATCATGATTGCAGAACCATGCAATTTTGCTGCTGTATAAATGATTGGGCATATAAATGCTGTATAAATGACTGGCTTTTTTCTGCTGTATAAATGACTGGGCAGCTCATTAAGTTCACCCTGTTGTAGGAAGGGGCTGCTACAGAGGACAAGGAGGATGAGGACAGACGGAACTATTGGGCTTCAATAAGAACTAGAAAGATCTTAAAAAGAAAGAAAACAAAGTAACCCTAGCGGATCTGATTGTACACTAGTTTTCCCTTATTGTCTCTTTTCTACATTATACCCTCCAGAGCTGCCCAGAAGTTAAACCTGTCTTCTAAAAAGAAGAAGCATCGACCTTCGACCTCTTCTGTTGCAGAGCCGCCCCTCTTCGCCACCAGCTTCAGTGGGATTCTGCAGGCGGCCCCGCCGCCAGCCCCGCCCTGCCTGCTGAGGGCCGTCAGCAAGGTGAAGGACACCCCAGGCCTGGGCAAGGTAGGCGCCTCTCCGCCTCCTCCACTTGCTCAGAGTGGGGGGTTCTGGGTCAGGTTTGGGAAAGAAGAAAATGGGGGCTCTGATTTCTTAAAAGAAGAAGGTGCCAGAGAGAAAAGGAGACAAAATGAAATTTGTTTGGAAGTACTGTAAGATTTTCTTTGGTTACACATACTAAATAGTAAATTCAAAGTGTTTGGAGATCTGATTTGATTTTGTTAAGGGGGGAAAAATGCAGCTTTGCCAGGTGCAGTGCCTCACGCCTGTAATCCTAGCACTCTGGGAGGCTGAGGTGAGGGGATCCCTTGAGACCAGGAGTTTGAGACCAGCCTGAGCAATAGTGAGACCCCATCTCTAGAAAAAGCAAAAAAAGAAAAGAAAAGAAAATTAGCTGGGCATAGTGGTATACCCCTATAGTCCCAGCTGCTTGGGCAGCTAAGGCAGGAGGATCCCTTGAGCTCAGGAGTTGGAGGTTACAGTGAGCTATGATGATGCCACTATGCTCTAGCCTGGGTGACAGAGGGAAATCCAGTCTGTCTCAAAAAAACAAAAACAAAACAGCTTTTGCATTATTTGACAGAACCGTAGCTATTTAAAGAAAACACAAAGACGCAAAAGACAGAGGCAGAGGCATGAGACCGAGTGAAAACACAGTACACAGTATGGAAATGAGACATAAAGACATTTCGTAATTTCCCTGTGACACTTGCATTTTTTCCTCCCCTTCAGAGAAATTGTGACTTCTGTTTTTGAACCAGAACACCAATGGGATTTCTGGGGAGCATATACAGTCATACCTTTCTAGCACAGAAATGCAGTTTTGAATTGTTACAAATACTTAGAGATGTAGGAACACTAATACAAGATGTCGCTCAGCTACGTGTCAGATAACTTTATTTTTAAATGTCATTTCTAAACCTTTTCTCTCTTCCGATATAAACGTTTGGATGAAGTAACTTATGGTTTACTCTTACCATAAGCTAGGGGTTATACAAACATTTAGCTAAAGAAAGGGGGCAGTTTTATTTTTTATTTTCATCAAAAGTAGGATGGTGCACACACCTGACGTTACTGCGGCCCTGGCTTTGTTCTGGGCAGTTGCTCGCCCGCTGAAGGGAGCAACTGCGAACTGCACGGGTCAAGGTTCTACGTATTCAGGTCAGTCACTGCCCTTCCCGGGACCCTGACAGGGTCATGCCCAGGTTTGTGGTCTTGAGCAGGCCCTAGTCCCTCTGGAGTTTACGCCCCTCTTCCTCTGTTCTCTTCTCCTTTCCTGGGAATGTCTCCTTCCATGCTCTCCCACCCGCAGTCTTACCACCCGGTTGGGAATACAGTCATTCCCCATGGTGCTCATTCAAACCCACAAAGAGTTTAAATTTTAAGATTACTGTCAGCAAGGCAATGCTTACCTGAGGGAAAGCATCCAGTCCTGGAATTGTTGCGGTGCTGGGCAGGGCAGATGGTTTTCAGCTGAAGGTTCTGCCAGGCCCAGGGTGAAGTCAGACCTAAGAAAGCAGCAGGGCGTGGCCTGGGCTTGGTGTGTGGGTTGTTCCAGCATCACCCAGCCATGGAAGCAGGCGAGAGCACAGCGTGGGCTGAGCCTCCTGTCCAGAGGACTCAAGTGGATGGAAGCACCGAGGAAGGGCGGTGACACCCCCAAGGGGTCACACAGGAGTGCTGATGGATGGTTGATATGCTGCCTTCTAAGGAGCACGGCTTCAAGTCACTGCAGGGGCTCTTTCTTCTTTTTTTGAAATTTTGTGTTTTTAATTGTAGAAAGATACAGATAACATAAAAGTTACCATCTGAACCATTGTCAAGTGTTCATGGGCTCCTCTTTTGAGGAGTTTGGAACTTCAGTGCCAGAGCTGAACTGCCTGGGCAAAGTGAAATCAAGCTACTAGTACAATCTCCCTCCCCTCTTTTGCTCTAAGCAACATCTCACTTTTCTTCTAAATAAGTGTGAGCAAATGTTTAAATGATATCCCTTCGAAAGGGTGCCAGATTGTTAGCCAACCTGGGGCACTCATATGCCCCAGTATGGCCCTGTCGTCCGGGATACCTCAGAATGCACCACATCAGACACTGGCTTCCTGCACCTGTAACACTGGCCTTGCTCGTGGTTCCTAAAAGGGTTGATGTGAACGCATCTTCAGGTGGGCCTGGGCCCCAAGCCCAATACCTCTGTTCCCTCCTTCCCCATCCCTAACCCCCTCCCAGGAGTTCTGAGACAAGGGTACCAAAGCCAGGGGCCAAAATAGCAGAGTGTTCCCAGCCAGCAAGATGACCCAGCACTTACACAGAAATGGTTTGGAGGGCAAAGGGCACTGATCCGATCTTGATTTCATGATGTATATCATATGTAGAGACCAGGGGTGAGGGGCCTTATGGGGAAGAGTATGCTTATTAGTAAAGTTTGCAAATCATATATTTTTTTAAATTAAAGATATTATCCCTCTCATTCATTTGCCATCCAAAATGCAATCAAAACCTTGACTTTGTCCATGGAACTGTGTCATGGATAAGGGCAAGCCTGGGGTCCCAGCACGTGATGGAAGGGGTGGCTTCCCTCTGACCAGTGGCTACATGGCAGCTGAGCACACCCTGTTGTCTTGCCAGGCCTCAGAGGGACAGTGGTGGGGAGGAAGTGACAATTGGAGGAAGTGTGTCCTCTGGAAGACAGTTTTAATGTAATAATCATATGCTTGTTACATTAAAATGTGTACTGTGAGTGAAGCATGAGGTCACCACGCACACAGCCGACCGATTCTGCCTCTGCCTGCACCATGTCTGACTCGCACATGCCAGCAGGTTCTTACTGCGCCATATCTCAGAGGTGCCAGACTGCCTGACCTTAGCTAGGGCCCATCTTCCCAGACTCCTGCCTTTTCCACCCCCGAGGATATCTCACTATAATTAGCAATCGTCATTCTTTTTACCCATATGGAAAAATTCCCATCAATGTATCTCTGTTGCATAATTTATATTTTAATATCTCAAAGAAATACAGTGGAGTTTAATATAGAACATAAATAATTGGTGCTATATATAAATTGGCATGTTTGAAGTAGACAAGCTTGACTGAATTGCCAAAAGCAACTCTATTATTTAAACCTGAGCTGGGACATCCTGGGGTGGGGCTGGGGCGCAAGGAAGCTCCTGCGCTTGAGGTAGCCTGAAGGTGAGAGCCTTGTCACCCAGCCAGCCACCACCTCTCAGGCCTCAGCCAGCCAAGACCTCCCACTGGGCAAGAAGTCAAGACCTTTAAGCCATTTTATTTTCTATTTTCTATCACTGAGCTGCCACTAGAGATACATGACTCTGTAAAATTTTGGGTAGAGACAAGAGTGTCATGGGACACAGTGGTAGGAAGATAACATTGGGAACCAGTGGAGAAGGACACCCTTCATTTTTCAGAGTCAGGGTTGGGAGAGCAATGTTAATAACCAAGAATAGATACACAAAAAATTGGAGATCTCCATCCCACCCCTCCCCTTGTTCCCACTCCCTGCCATTTCCAGTGGCAAATCTCCTTCGCCGCCACCCTGAGTCATTGGTGGCCATTAATCACTTCTTGAGACAAAAGCTTTTCTAGAGGCCATGGTGATGTAAGAATTTGAGGTAACTTCAGTATACCTGGAGCTGAAGCACGGTGCGCGCGCACACACACACACACACACACACACACACACACACACACACACACAGGAAATATCTCAGGATTCTCAGCACCTAGAGCAGTTGCTGGTATATAACGAATATTTATTGAGCACCTGTTATGTGTCAGGTATTGTGCTGGGTTTGCAATGATGGACAAGGCAGAATGCCTGTCCTTATAGCACTTATAATCTACTGGTTTATTCCAACCACACTTACAAATCTCACCAATTTGGACCAATATGAGGGACAATCTGATTTAAGGAAAAGTCAGAATTGCAGACTTAAAATGATTCTGTCTGACTTTCAAGTTGTGTAAAGAAATTATGCTGCTAAGTGAGCTAACAGAGACACTCTTAATGAATAGATAAAAAATGACTACTGGATCAAATCAGCTTATTCCCCATTTATATTTCACTGATTTGGCTTATATGTAAATGATACTTCTAATCTGTTTGAACATGGCTCCTTCTTCTAAGTCTGTAAACAGTCTTCATGAAATTTGTTTGCACAAGTAATTAACATCCATATTTAATGTTCATTTGTTAGTGTGACACAGCTTAACATCAGAGCTTTTTGTCTTGGATTACAAGCTTCTAGAGCAAAGCGTGTTATCTGTTTAGCGCATTAAGTACATGGCTCTGCAGCCACATCATGGGGGCATAAGCACTTTCAAGGGTGAGTGTGGTAATGGTGGCAGTCGTATTGGGTTGATGACAAGCATCCTGCAGGTTGATTGATTCTCCTCTTCTCAGAATAATACCTGAAGGGAACTACAGGAAGCATGAAGGGAAAAGGAACTTTCTTTTTCTTCATAACTTCCATGGATGCCTCAAAAGAATGACAATGATCAGCACCCAGCCTTTCTCCCCCAAACATGTTTTGGGAGTATTAGAAAATTCTTGCAAGTGGACCCTAGCAGCAAGAGAACAGACTATAGAATTTGGAAGTATCATAAAAAACTGGATGGCACAAACATGGAGAGGAATCATGGAAAATTAAGCTGGGGACCTGTCAAGAAGGGCTTGTCCTGCTTGATTCATTTGGCAAGTAACTCTTAAGACCTGCTGTGTTCCAGGTACTATAGTAGCTGCCACTGATAGGGACAGGGCACAGGAGCTGGTTGGCTGCTCCAAGCCATATGGCTGCACAGGCAGGGGAAGATAAATCCTGATCTCCACAAACATGTTTGGCTTTTAGGCTCTGCCCCCACTTCTGTGCCACAAATGCAGTTTCCCAGACCTTAGGATGCCCACTTAGCCCAGTCTGGGTATAGGAGGGGCATGTGTTGTCTGCTAATGGTGGCTGCCCATCCCCACCCATGCTCATTCACCTGTGCATTTCTA